GGCCTGGAGCCTCGGGCCTCGGAGCACAGGGAGCGGGCGGAACCACAGGCGTCGCCACAGCCGCGGCTTCGAGGACGAGAGCCCTCCTGTCAGGCACGTGCCCAGGCGCCCAGAGCGCATGCTCGGATCCTCAGGCTCGTGACCAGGCGCCCAGAGCGCATGCTCGGATCCTCAGGCTCGTGACCAGGAGCCCAAGAGCGCATGCTCAGATCCTCAGGCTCGTGACCAGGCGTCCAGAGCGCATGCTCGGATCCTCAGGCTCGTGACCAGGAGCCCAGAGCGCATGTTCGGATCCTGTCAGGCTCGTGCCCAAGCGCCCAGAGCGCATGCTCGGATCCTCAGGCTCGTGACCAGGAGCCCAGAGCGCATGCTCAGGGCTCCTCTTCTCAGGCTCACGCCCAGGCGCCCAGAGCGCATGCTCACCTCCTGGGCCTGGCTGTGCGCCCCCGAGCGCGTGTCTCAGGCTCACGCCCAGGAGCCCAAAGCGCATGCGCAGCTCCTGTCAGGCTCGTGCCCAGGCGCCCAGAGCGCATGCTCGGCTCCCGGAGCGGATCCCACCACCACCTGGAACGCAGAGCCACGTGGAGGTCGCTTCTACGTGGATCGCTGTTGATGCAACAAACCAGAGGAAGGCTGCACAGAGAAGACTGGGAAGCCAGCAGGACTCTCCAGGGTTAGAGGGGCTGGTGATCTCCATGGTTTGCGTCCCTTCCACCTCCTTAGGGTGGGCGAGAGCCTGCACGGTCACTGCAGTGTGTTTCTGGACTCATCGCTGGAGCCCAGCTCAGCTTGGACAGAGAGAGCTAGCAGGCCCAACGAGGCATTTACTAGATACACCTGGTCTCCCCACCTGGAGCCGCTCCTGATCCGCTTAGACACCGGCTCCTACGGGTCTGTCAAAACCACCCTGCCGGTTTCCATATAAGGTCGCTTTTTCAAGACAGCTATTTTGTTTAATTCATATAAACAAACACAGAAAGTCAAACAAAATGAAAAGGCAGAAGAACATCTCTAAAAGGATTAAGAAAAATCCCCGGGGGGCGAGGGGAGGCGTGCCCTAAGAAAACAAACAATTTGCCTGATAAAAAGAATTCAAAAAATGGTCATAAGGATCCTCACACCAAACGTGGGAGTGGAATAGAGGAACTTGGGGAGAATGTCAATAAAGAATTAGGAAGTATAAGAAAGAAACAAGCAGATCTGAAGAATACACAATAACCGAAATGAAAAACACAGAAATCAGCAATAGATTAGCTAATACAGATCAGTACAGTGACCTAAAGACAGACTAGTGGAAGCAACCAATCAGAAAAACAAAAAAGAATTAAAAACATGAAAGCACATACACAATGACTTAAGGGACCTCTGGGTTAACATCAAGCACTCAAGTATTTGCATTATAGGGATCCCAGAAGGAGCAAAAAGAAAAACAAAGAAACTTTATTTAAATGATGGCTGAAAACTTTCCTAACCTGGGAAAGGAAGCAATCAGGTCCAGGAAGCATAGTTGCAAACAAGATGAGCCCAGAGAGACACACAGCAAGAGAAAAGTTAAAGATAGAGGCATTCTTGAAGGAAGCATGCAAAAAATTACACCAGAAGGAAACCCTATGATACTGTCATCTGATTCTTCATCAGCAACTTTTTGGATCAGCAGGGAGAGACAGGATCTCTTTAAAAAATTCTTCATTTCGTTGAATGGATTCTGCTAACTTCTCCCTTGAAACAGACTCCAGAAGAGCCAGGTGTGATGAACTGAAGCACCCCAACTGCTCCAGGGCCACACTCTGAAAAAGTCTATGGGAAAGATTCCTGCATCCGTGTCAAGAGAGCCCAGGCCCAGGCAGATTCGGTCAATAATTGGAAAAGGAGAATCACAGCATAGAATCTCTGAGCAGGCACTGTTTTCATCCAACGACAAAGTTCCTGATCTATTTTTTAAAGAGACAGCACACAAAGTCGCAAGGAAGCTTGCAACCTAGAATAATTTACCCAGCAAGGAATTAAAGGAGAGTTTCCCAGGCAAGCAAAAACTAAAGGACTCTACCTTCACCATTAAACCAGATTTACAAGAAAAATTAAAGGGTCTCCTTTAAGTAGAAAAGGAAAGGCCATAACCAGAAATAAGAAAACATGAGGGAAACAAACTCACAGATACAGCCAAATATTCAATAAGTACAGCAAATCACACATTTAAAAAGCTACTACGATGGTTAAAAGAAAAAAGTATCAAAAAAAAAAAAAAAGTATCAAGCTCAGCTCAAACTACAATAAGTACTTAGGAGATACACAACCCAGAAAGATCTAAAATATGACATTAATAACACAAAGCATGTACAGGGGAGTAAAAATGTAGTCCTTACAGAATATATTCAAATTTAAACGCCAATCAGCTTAAAACAGAGTGCTATAAAGATACACATAAACCTACCAAAAAAAATACACAAAGAGAAAGGAACCTAAACGAAACATTATAAAGAAAAACAGCAAGCCATAAGGCAAGAGATTAAGAGAAGGAAGGCACAGAGAACAACTGTAAAAACAATTCAAAAACCAGGAGGAACCCTCGGGCCACTTTAGATATCAGAGAGCAGGAGCAGCTCCTTTGGGGAGAGTAACACAGGCCTCACCGACCAGCTTCTCCCTAATGTCCAAGGAGCCAATGAGCTTTTCTTTCTGGAGCTTGCTCACTGCCCATAAACACAGCCTGGTCTTACCCATCCCCACTCCCTAGAAAGCTTAAGTCTAGCCAGGTAGGAGGCAGTCATTAGCCAGCAGTTTTTGACACAATTGGTTCTTTATTCTTTGGAGATACTCCAAGATTCTCCAAAAATAATGAGGATTCAATATTTACCAACCAAAGAGGGAATGATTTATTTTTTTTATTTTTAAATATATATATATATTTTTTTTTTTTATTAATTTCAGAGAGGGAGAGAGAGAGAAACATCAATGATGAGAATCATTGGTGGGCTGCCTCCTGCACGCATTGAGTCCACCACCTGGGCATGTGCATGTGCCCTTGACCGGAGTCAAGCCCAGGACCCTCCAGTCTGCAGGCTGATGCTCTATCCACTGAGCCAAACCAGCTGGGGCTTGGGAAGTGATTTAGATAGACCTGAAAATGTATGTGGAATAATAGTTTGTCTTCCCGCACCCCCACCCCTACCCCTCTCTCCAAGGACCATTTCATTTATAAGTTTTTCTCTAAACCACCAGGGTCCAGGCAGATCCCACTAGGCCCCTCCCCCTCCCCTTCCAGTCTTGTGCCCTCATCCCTGGTCACCAAAAGGCATCTCAAAAACATCCAAACCAATGCACTCATGGTTCGTGCCAGGTTCTTTGTTGTTGTTTTTGCTTTTTTGTTTGATCTAAGAGCCTGTAGCGCAGAAGCTCCATAATTTGGAAGGTCATTCTCCGATGCAGTGAGCACCGGGCAGCCTGAGCCGGTCTTTACGTGTAAGGCAGAGGACCGGGCTTCCCCCGCAGGCCATTGTGCGGGGGCTCTTGGAAAAGGCTAGTGTGAGCGGCAGTTCCAGTTCAAAGGTTAAAGGTCAGAGGGCGCACAGCTGCCGTTTAGTCACCACTTGTGGCACAGGAAGATAAAGCAGGCCCATCCCCTCTGGCACACAGGACAGGAAAAAAAGGAAAAGGGAAGTCAACAAAGGAAATAAAATCAGGGAGGGGCAGGCATGGTGCGTTCCATTCGGCAAGTGCTCTTCCCATAGCGGATTCCCCACGGGTCCCCCCACTTTTCTGCAGAGGCCATGTGCCTTCTGTACAAAGCCAGGGCTTCGGTTCTGGAAACTGAAGAATCTGAAAAAAAGGGCTGAGCTGGGAAAGGCTAGAGTTTTCCTCCAAGGCAGACAATTAACAGGCAAATGCACAAACCCTGCAGAAAGCCAGAAAAGAGCTTTTAAAAAAAAAAAAAAAAAAAAGTACAAAACACCTTTGCAGAGAGAACAGAGTCCCAGGGACCCATAGGCACTGCCAGTGGATTTTAGCAGGAGCAGTGAAATGGGGGAACCCCGATCAACCTGGGAAGTCAACCCACGTCCCTGCTTCCAGAAGCCGCCCGGACCCCTGACCCACTCCCTGTGGCACCCCCTGAGTCAGTGGGTTTCCTAGTCCAGCTTTTTCGGCCAACCAAACCACCCATGCGTTTAAGTGACCACAGTGAAACTTGAAAATGAGTTGTCTAAGACCGACACTGTAAGAACTATGACAGGGCAGAGACACACAGGATGTCACTAACCAAAGCCTGCCTCCCGTGCATTCTTTTTCCTTCGGACAAGCAATTATTAAAAAGAAAAAAGGGAAAAAAAAGAAATTATTTTAGAGGTACACACATACGCACATATATTTTTTTTTTCTCCCCGATATTCGAAATCCTTTATGCACTAGGCATGCCCAGTTCTGCTGAACCCTTTAAACAAAAGAAGGAAAAGAAAAGGGAGCCACAAACATGTGCTAAGATACACTTTGCTAACGGGCTAACGGGCTGACCCGCTCTGAGGACTTGCCCTCTGACCTTTCACACGGCCATTCCCAACAGAAGGCCAGAACCTGACCCAACCCAGAAGTCCAAAGGGCGAGACGTTCCGAACATCACAGATCCAGGAGAGCAGCATGTCAGAGCAGCATGTCACTACACAGATGGAGATCCTTCTTGAGGTTCCTCATAGCTTCTGACCTCTCTCACTGTCGTCGACAGTTGCTTTAAGTCACCATGTTTTGACCCCGTGCCCCTTGGCAAGGCAGAAGGAGGAAGAAGCGGCAACATTTTAAACTGGTGTCCAGAAGACGGGAGAGAGAATTCTCCCGCGGTGACATTCTGAGCAGGCGTTCGACACACACACACACACACACACGAACGTGCCCGAGTTTCATAAATAACGTTTCTGCTTTCAACACCTCGGACAAGACGGCTTCCGGATCCTTCCCGCCAGGGTGCAGCTGACCAACTTTCCACAGGATGCCAGCACGCCGGAAAACAGGTTTTACCTAAAAGAAGAGGAAGAGTGAGTCGGTGCCTTCCTGCCGAGCCCCGGACCCATTCTGACTCCTCTCTTCACAGTCTCCATCTTGTAGTCTCGCTCCCTAACCACAGGGCCTTTACACATGCTGCTGTCTGCAAGGCGAGCTGCATTCCTCCAAGTAAGTGCTCCCCTTCCCTCAAGTCCCAGCTCAGCATCCTTTCTTAGTCCCCCACACGGACCCCCTGGCCCACAATCACTTTTCTCTTTGTATCTCTCCTTCCTAGTACTTCTAGAGCTGTTTATGCCAGAGCTCAGCAAAAGATATAAATGCTGGTTTTTCTTTTTTTCTCTTTTCTTTCTTTCTCTCTTTTTTTTTTTTTTTTTTTTAACGAATCTAGAGTCTTAGGCAGCACTATAAACTGCTTGTGTATGTAGGCAAGAACTGAATAAGTAAAGACTCAGTAGTAAATTTCATTGCCACACAGACTTCCTGTTTATTTGTTGGGTTTTTTTGGGTTTTTTAATATATTTTTATTGATTTTTTTTTTTTCAGAGAGGAAGAGAGAGGAATAGAGAGTTAGAAACATCAATGAGAGAGAATCATCGATCAGCTGCCTCTTGCACACCCCCTACTGGGGATGTACCCGCAACCAAGGTACATGCCCTTGACCGGTATCGAACCCAGGATCTTGCAGTCTGCAGGCTGACGCTCTATCCACTGAGCCAAACCGGTTTCGGCCAGACTTCCTGTTTGCATAGGCTCGCTCCTTACAGACATAAAGCTCAAATGGTTTTAAGATGTGCAGTACCATAGCTGAGAACTGCCCCGCAATTGCCAATATTGCTTTTTAAACAAAATTGCCCGGAAGGTAAGGGAGGGTGGGGAGTAAGGGGGTAAAGCATATAGGCCTAACCAAGTGGTCGGCAAACTGTGGCTCACAAGCCACATGTGGCTCTTTGGCCCCTTGAATGTGGCTCTTCCACAAAATACCACGGCCTGGGCAAGTCTATGTTGAAGAAGTGGCATTAGAAGAAGTTTTAAAAAAAAAAAATTGGCTCTCCAAAGAAATTTCAATCGTTATCCTGTTGGTATTTGGCTCTGTTGACTAATGAATCAAACCGTGACCTCCTGGCTCCTAGGTTGACGCTCAAACACTGGGACACACCAGCTGAGCTTAATTAGCCTTTTTAAGTACAGAATCTCATTTAAGTTGGGATCTCATTTTTACAGGTCTCCCTACCACCAACAGCACTCTGGCCCTGCGCTTTGGGGGCCTTAGCTCATGGTTTATAACATCCAGGGGATGGGAGCCTAAAAAAAAGGCTATGACAGCCTCGCCTGCCTGCCTTTCTCTCCATTTCCTGCCTGGCTGAGGCTGCCGGAGCTACGTCTCGAGATAGCATCAGGACTACACACATATAATAGCAAGAGCCAGGTACCGCCTGGCCGGCCCAGCACCAAAAACATGACTTCCCTCTCCGCACTCACTCATGAAATCACCCAAGGTTACAATCCAGCCACATCCGATTTAAATGTACCATTTCCCAGAGAGAGAGAGATGAGAACTGTGAACAGATGATCACGTGCAGACAAGAATGCTCTCAAAAAAACACTAAACTGAACATAAAACTGCCCCTGAGCCGAAACCGGTGTGGCTCAGTGGATAGAGCATCGGTCTGCAGACTGAAAGGTCCCAGGTTCGATTCCGGTCAAGGGCACGTACCTTGGTTGCGGGCACATCCCCGGTGGGGGGTGTGCAAGAGGCAGCTGGTCGATGTATCTCTCTCATCGACGTTTCTGGCTCTCTATCTCTCTCTCTTCCTTTCTGTAAAAAAAAATCAATAAAATATATATTTAAAAAAAAAAAAAAAAATTGCCCCTGAAACTCGTGTTTTTTTCAAACACATTGCCCTGGAAAGTTGTTTGTGATGTGCCTACTGTTCAGATGAAAGATGTTCCAGAACAGCGTATGTCACATGGTCCTATTTCTATAGAAAAGAAAACTCCACGTATGTACTCACACACACTCTAGTGGTTGTTGCGAAGCAGTGGGATTACGGGTAATTTTATTTCCCCTTTTTCTTATCTGGAATAGCTATACCACAGACTACACCTATGATAAGGAAAGCCTCTAAGCAGTCTCTCTATTTTTTTTATTTTTTATTTTTTTTTACTGAGAGAAAGGGAGAGAGCTAGAAACGTCGATGAGAGAGAAACATCAATCAGCTGCCTCTTGCACACACCCCCCACTGGGGATGTGCCCACAACCAAGGTTGCCTGAAATCGAACCCGGGACCTTTTATTCCGCAGACCGACGCTCTACCACTGAGCCAAACCAGTTTCAGCTAAGCAGTCTCTCTAAATGGTCAGTTGTCTTTGAGCCCGAGGACGAGAGCCGTCTTGTGTCTAAGTGGTTCCCTTCAAGGTCACTGACATCTGGATATTACTTCAACCACGAACAGCACAGACTTCTAACTCAGCGGTCGGCAAACTCGTGAGTCCACCGAGCCAAATGTCAACAGCACAACGATTGACATGTCTTTGGAGAGCCACGTTTTTTAAACTGAAACATCTTCTAACGCCACTTCTTCAACACAGACTCGCCCAGGCCGTGGCATTTTGTGCAAGAGCCACACACTCAAGGGGGCCCAAGAGCCGCATGTGGCTCGCGAGCCGCAGTTTGCCGACCACCGTTCAAAGGTGAACTCAAAGTCCACTTCTTCCCAGCACACCAGGGAGGCACGAGCCATGATAAGGAAAGCCTGTGGGAGGCAGCTAAAGTAGATAAAGTTACATTATAAACATTCCAGGGAAGACCGAGAATGAATGACTAAACATTCAACAGAAGTTATGAGGAAAAGAACAGAACACACCCAAAGAAAGCTTAAGGAAGAGAAGCAGAAACCCACTGAAAATGGCAATACGTTAAAGAGGATCCAAGATGCTGAAGTTTGTTCTTCGAATAAAATGAAACTTCCAGCCGAAACCGGTTTGGCTCAGTGGTAGAAAAAAAAAAAATCAACAAAATATATTTTTTTTAAAAAACACACAAAAAACATTATGCTAAGTGAATAAGCCAGGCAGAGAAAGATAAACATCACATGATCTCACTCATTTGTGGAATATAATAAATGGCATAGACTGATAAATAAGAACAGACCCAGAGCTGAAACCGGTTTGGCTCAATGGATGGAGCGTCGGCTTTGGGACTGAAGGGTCCCGGGTTCGATTCCGGTCAAGGGCATGGACCTTGGTTGCGGGCATATCCCCAGTGGGGGGTGTGCAGGAGGCAGCTGATCGATGACTCTCTCTCATCGATGTTTCTGGCTCTCTATCTCTCTCCCTTCCTCTCTGCACAAAATCAATAAAATGTATTTTTTTTAAAAAAAGAACAGACCCAGAGACTGAGTAACATTGATCAGAACCTCAAAGATGAACCCTTGACCACCCAAGCCCGGGAGCCCAGGGCAGCTGCTGTGTCACCCCCATCCCCCTCCCCACCCCCACCCCCACCCCCGCACCTGTACTTGATGTCAAATACTGTGGAGTCTTCATCCTCGTCATCCTCTTCGTTCAGCGGGGCCATTTCCACGCGCTCGGCCGGAGTGGTGATGATGTCATACTTTCGGGTCTTCTTCAGCCTCTTCCCGGACCTGGAAGACAGGGGTGTCGCTGAGGACCCCACCATCCCCGGAGGCTAACCACGCACGGTCCCCACCTGGGTCCGGGGACCTGGAGGATACCCCAGCTCCTGCACTCTCAGTAAAACTTGAGGTCCTCCCCCCAAGGACAGAGATGATGACAGTTGCCCTGAGCACTGGAAAAACCCGGGAACCAAGGGGAATAATAGGAAATCCACGATGCACAAAAGACCAAAATGTTCAGTGAAGCCGAAACAGGTTTGGCTCAGTGGATAGAGCGTTGGCCTGCGGACTGAAGGGTCCCGGGTTCGATTCCAGTCAAGGGCATGGACCTTGGTTGTGGGCACATCCCCAGTAGGGGGTGTGTAGGAGGCAGCTGATTGATGATTCTCTCTTGTCAATGTTTCTAACTCTCTATCCTTCTCTCTTCTAACTCTCTATCCTTCTCTCTTCCTCTCTGTAAAAAAAAAAAAAAAAAATCAATAAAATATATTTTTAAAAATAAATAAATAAATAATAAAATATATTTCTATTGATTTCAGAGAGGAAGAGAGAGGGAGAGAGAGAAATAACCAATGATGAGAGAGAAGCACTGATCGGCTGTCTCCTGCATGCCCCCTACTGGGAATCGAGCCCACAACCCGTGCATGTGCCCTTGTCCAGAATCAAACCCGGGACCCTTCAGTCCACAGTCCACTGAGTAACATTGATCAGAACCTCAAAGATGAACCCTTGACCACCCAAGCCCGGGAGCCCAGGGCAGCTGCTGTGTCACCCCCATCCCCCTCCCCAACCCCACCCCCACCCCCGCACCTGTACTTGATGTCAAATACTCTATCCACTGAGCCACACCAGCCTGCCTCTCAAGCTTAGTTGATATGGCCCCTTGCCACCACTCTCCTCCCCTGGAGCAAGGTCTCATTGCCCCAGGAGGCCTCATCAAAGGGATGGCAGCTGGCGGTTTGCAAAGGGTTTGCAGTGAGTGTCCTCGCTGCCTTCCCAGGAACGGGCCAGGCCAGCGAGATTCTAGAGGAGCCAAAACACACATTTCCAACAGGTCAGGGGAGAAGCTCAGCATTCTTTCATTCTGAAACGAGATCCTCATGCCAGGGGGCTGTTTACTCAGAGGCCCGCTCTGCAGCTGGTGAGCAGCAGGTTCCCAGGGCCCGCTGGCAGGCGCAGTCCACGCGGACAGAGAGACAGAGGAGGAGGGAGCGGCGCTCAGCTGGCCAGCCGGGGAGAGAGACACAAAACCAAACAAGCCCATCAGGGTAGTGACTGCAAGTTCAGTCTGGGGGTACAGGGGGGTCAGATCCACAGAGATGGGGGTTCAGATCTCGGCTCTGCAATTCCCTTGTCTCGGTTCCTCTGAGCAAGTCACTCACCCCAACCTCTATCCAACACGGCTCTGGCCAAGCCTCCCTGAACACAGGTGTCTGTCTATGACCTTCTAGATGCCCCCAGCAGCGTCATCACCCCTCTACTCCCCCCCGCCCCTGCCTGGAGCTGCCCCTCCCCACTATGCTCCAGCACCTCTGCTCCAGCACCAGCATCCACTCAAGCAAAATGACTCCCACAAACCCCAGGACCCCATAAGCACAGAAACCAGTGAAGCACCCGAAACCAGTTTGGCTCAGTGGATAGAGCGTCAGCCTGCAGACCGAAAGATCTCAGGTTCGATTCCAGTCAAGGGCATGTATCTTGGTCTTGGGCATATCCCCAGTAAGGGGTGTGCAGGAGGCAGCTGATTGATGTTTCTCTCATCGATGTTTCTAACTCTCTATCCCTCTTTCTTCCTCTTTGTAAAAAAATCAATAAAATATATAGAAGAAGAAGGAGAAGGAGGAGGAGGAGGAGGAGGAGGAGGAGGAGGAGGAGGAGGAGGAGGAGAGGAGGAAGAAGGAGGAAAAGAAACCAGTGGAGCAGGCCTGTTGTGGCATAAACATTAGGACAAACACGGTGACGGTGGCCATCTGGCAGCCAACTCCCTGTCCCGGAGGCCGGGAGATACCAAGGGCAGAGCTCACAAACCCAGCTTCCGCACCTGACTGTCACATGGGGTAGAGAGAGAGGCCCCGTGTTTGCAAATATTTCCACTTGTCAAGAAAAGCAGGAGACTCCCCATGTTTGTGTTCTCAGCTACCTATTAAAATCACTGTGCAGCCGAAACCGGTTTGGCTCAGTGGATAGAGCGTCGGCCTGCGGACTGAAAGGTCCCGGGTTCGATTCCAGTCAAGGGCACGTACCTTGGTTGCGGGCACATCCCCAGTACAGGGTGTGCAAGAGGCAGCTGATTGATGATGTACCATGCATACACATACATTCACATACGTAATTTATTTAAACAAACATGTAGTTTATAACCTGTTCCATTCAACAATATATAGTATTGTAGCAACACCATCGCTTTTAACAGCCACATAGTATTCCCGTGTAAGGATTACCAGGATTTCTTTAACCAATGCCCAATTGCTGCAAACGTAGGTCTATTTAAACCTTAGGCCATCAAACACAACTGCTCTGAATCCCATTGCCCAGGTATCCTTGCTTCCTCTCCTAATTAATAAATTTAATAAATTAACAAAGATGCCCTAACCAGATTGGCTCAGTGGATAGAGCACTGCCCTGCGGGATCAAGGGTCTCAGGTTCGATTCCAGTCAAGGGCATGTACCTTGGTTGCAGGCACATCCCCAGTGGGGGGTGTGCAGGAGACAGCTAAATCGATGTTTCTCTCTCATCGATGTTTCTAACTTTCTATCCCTCTCCCTTCCTCTCTGTAAAAAAAAAAAAAAAATCAATAAAATCTATATATTTAAAAATAATAATATTATAAAATAAATTAGCAAAGACACTGTATCACAGTGAAAAATGTGTGCGCCTTAGGGATGGAATTGCTTGGTTAACAGTCGCCCCCCCCCCACTGCAAAACACATTCTTTGCTTCTAATTTTAACAGTTTCCTCGGATCCACATTTTTCCTGTTGTCTGGCAAAGTTTTCCTTCAGGGAAAACAGACAAACAGGCCCGGGACTGCCACTTTATAAACAAAAACTCTACGCCCTTCCTCCGTGATCTACATTCTTACGAAAAGGAAGGGCCCACCGTTCAAACACATTCCTACCTCCCAGGTTCCTGTCATCAGCCACGCAGCTAATAGTTAGCAAGGACGTTCTGAGAAGCATCGGCAAATGTAAACCCCTTAGAAGGTCAACATTCATTTGCTAAAAATATCTTTATGGGATGGCAGCTTGTGCCTGGAGCCACAGTAGGTGTCAGAGAGACAAACGATGAAGGCCCAGGCCTGCCCGTGGAGCCCTCGGCCTCCTGTGCCAAAGGGACCTGTTCGTGACCCTCCTGACTCTGAGGGAAACTCCAATTCCCAGTGTGCACTGAGGGCACTGGTGGGCCCTGGCAGGGGAGGATCTCGCAGGAAGCAACGCAGGAGGACAGAGAGGAGCTGGCCAGGGGGAACTCCAGGCAGAGGGGCAGAATGGGGCAGGACACGCAGGCCTGAGACCACAGGCCACCTCTGGAGAACCCCTAGTGAAATAAGACAGTAAGAATATACATCGAAATGCACCGGGACCAGTTTGGCTCAGTGGATAGAGCATTGCCCTGCGGACTGAGAGGTCCCAGGTTCAATTCCGGTCAAGGGCATGTATGTACCTTGGTTGCGGGCACATCCCCAGTCGGGGGTGTGTGCAAGAGGCAGCTGATCGATGATTCTCTCTCTCACCGATGTTTCTAACTCTCTATCCCTCTCTCTTCCTCTCTGTGAAAAATCAATAAAATATATTAAAAAAAAAAAAAAAAGAATATACATCAATGAGAGAGATTCATCAATCAGCTGCCTCTTGCATACCCCCTACTGGGGATGTGCCCGCAACCAAGGTCCATGCCCTTGACCGGAATCGAACCTGCAACCTTTCAGTCCGCAGACTGACGCTCTATCCACTGAGCCGAACCGGTTTCGGCAAGGAGATACAACTTTCTCTGTGCCAAGGAGCCCGTGGGGACTGGGTAGCATCCGGGCCCTTCCCAGCTGCCAATGCCATGGGTTCCTGTCTCCATCCTGTCCACCTGGGAGCTCACCCCAAGACTCCCTTCTCGGGAAGAGGAGGCAGGTCATGTCCATCACTGGCTTCTCTGTGGAGCCAGAAGCTCCTCCCCACACTCCGCACCCAAGCCAGTGAGGACCCATCCCCCGGCCAGGCCTAAGCCGCTCTCCCTCCCAAGCTCTTGCTCGGGGCCCTCACATCTGGCCGCATGCTGCCTGCTTCTCTCTCCCGATCTCTCCTGGGTAACGAGGAGCAGACTGGCAAAATAGTTCAGATGCCTTCTGGAAGAGTCCACCACCGCCTTGCGGGCTCAGTGGCCCGTTTTCAGCTAAATGTCTCCAACCTCCAGGCTCAGGGTTGCTCTAGGCATGGACGTTCATGCCACCTGAACCATTGGGGAATCAGGCTAAGGGAGCAACACCGGGTGCCAGGCCGGAGGGCAATGGAGACCCTGGGCTGTCTCTGAGTATAGGAGCTGGACACTACGCCCAGCCACCCAGCCCAGCAGGAGAAGGGCTGTATGGGGGCTACAGGAAGGCTAGGACTGGGGGAGGCCAGAAAAGGAAGCCAGGGCCTCACGTGGACATCAGGAACACTGGGAAGAACCAGGGGGCAGGGCCTCGTAGGCTGTGTGCGGTCTCAGCAGGTGTGAAACAGAAACGGCTGGCCAGGAGCGGAAATGCACAAGCCAGCACCGTGGAGTGTAGGAAAAGGAGCAAATGACAGAGAGGAGGCTTGGGAGAGCTGGTGGACCACAAGACGCACTGGCTTCCATTTGTTTGTTTGTTTTATATTTTATTGATTTTTTTTTTTTTTTTAGAGAGAGAGAGGGATAGAGAGAAACGTCGATGAGAGAGAATCATTGATCAGCTGCCTCTTGCAAACTCCCCTGCCCCCACTGGGGATGTGCCCACAACCAATGTACATGCCCTTGGCCGGAATCGAACCTGGGACCCTTCAGTCCGCAGGCCGACGCTCTATCCACTGAGCCAAACGGGTTTCGGCTGGCTTCCGTTTGTTAAGGGCCCGGCGTGCGATGCCCACGTGATGGCTGCAGGGAAGTTTGACAGCAGAGGCATGGGCAGTGGGAAGGCCAGGGTCCAGAGGGGAACAATCCAAGTCCCACAGGAGGGGACCAGCACAGTGAGGAACACGCCCAAAGCCAGGGCACAGGATGGAGGGGTGGATGGGGGGCCAGTTTCCCCTTCTCCATTTTCTTTCTTTTTTTTTTTTTTTTTTTTTTAGTATATTTTACTGATTTTTTTACAGAGAGGAAGGGAGAGGGATAGAGAGGTAGAAACATCGATAAGAAAGAAACATCTATCAGCTGCTTCCTGCACACCCCCTACTGGGGAGGTACCCGCAACCAAGGTCCATGCCCTTGACCGGAATCAAACCCGGGACCTTTCAGTCCACAGGCCGACGCTCTACCCACTGAGCAAAACCGGTTTTGGGTCCTCCATTTTCGTAGGTCACTGCCACGTAATCTTACAAGGAAACACCTTGACTCCAAGTCACAGCACAACTGCAAACCTATAGTAACCCCCTCCTCCGGGTCTGGTTTCTGCTCCTGCCGCAGAAAATGCTCCCGTGGGGAGAGCCAGCCCCTGGCTCCAGACTGCCAACAGCTGATCAAACAGCCAGCACGCAGTGTACACTTGGGAGGGGAGGGGCTGGCCGTGAGTAATGATACACATACACACCCACATTACACACACACACACACACACACACACTCACACACACCCACATTACACACACACACACACTCACACACACCCACATTACACACACACACACTCACACACACACACACACAATAACCTGTTGACACATTCGCTTCCTTTCCTTCAAAGACAGGGTTTCCCAGGCATTGGGGGCAAATACGCCCCTTTCCTCCACTGCTGCCTTCTCCATCTCCCTATAGCAGCACCTGGACCTCCTTCCCAACTCCCCAGATACTTTCTCCTTGAACTTGAGCAACCTACAAAAGCCTCCCCAAGATCCCTTATGCCCATGGGATCCGAACCAGCTCAGTCAGGTAGGAGCACAGCAGAGCTGTCCATATTCCCCCCTAACGGAAAGCACCGAGGCCACCAGGAGTCACCAGGCATCCTTGGGGCGCAAAGCGCACCCCCAACAGGCCTCCTGCAGATATCCCCATATGCTAGATACTGTTCCCTTCAGCGACACAAGGAAGGCAAAGAAAAAAAAGGCAGGTTGGGGGTGCGGGAGCCTCAGAGGAAGGACAGGACAGAAGATTGAAGTCAGACAAACCGGGGGGCAAATCCTACCTCCACCCCTGGCAGGAGAATGTATCCTCATCTGGGAAACGAGTATAAAAATAAATTCCGGGTAAAGTTATCAAACACCGGAGCGCTGCCGAAACCAGTTTGGCTCAGTGGATGGAGCGTCAGCCTGCGGACTGAGGGGGTCCCAGGTTCGACTCTGGTCAAGGGCATGTGCCTTGGTTGCGGGCACATCCCCAGTAGGGCGTGTGCGGGAGGCAGCTGATGGATGTTTCTCATCAATGTTTCTAACTATCCCTCTCCCTTCCTCTCTGTTAAACAATCAATAATATATATATTGGATTTAATTGATATTTAAGGAAGGTTTCATGCCAAAGCTACAGAATATATATTCTTCTCAAGTGCACATGAAACATTCCCAAAGATAGAACATATGTTAGAACACAAAATAGTCTTTACAAGTTCAAGAGGATGAAATCATATCAAACCTTTTCTTCACCGTCGCTGGTTTTGCTAAGTGGATAGAGGGCATTTGATCTGTGGACTGAAGAGTCCCAGGTTTGATTTTAGCCAAGAGAACATGCATGGGTTGCAGGGTCAATACCCTAATAGGGGGATGTTCAGGAGGCAGCCTAATGTATATATATATATATTTTTTTTAATAAATAAGTAAATAAATAAATAGCTGAAACCGGTGTGCCTCAGTGGATAGAGCATCAGCCTACGGACTGGAAGGTCCTGGGTTCGATTCAGGTCAGGGGCATGTACCTTGGTTGCAGGCACATCCCCGGTGGGGGTGTGCCAGAGGCAGCTGATCGATGATTCTCTCTCATGGATGTTTCTGTCTATCCCTCTCCCTTCCTCTCTGTATAAAAAAATCAATAATATATATATATATATATATATATATATATATATATATATATATATATTAAAAAAAAAATAAATACAAAACCGGAGCGCTGTTGTCGGTGCTCTGCATTCCCAGGGAACTCAAGGGAAGTCAATATTTATGTTATATGCATATAGTGAAGAGAGGAGACATTTCCTAAAATGTTACCAGGGCAACAGGCGCAGGGAGCGGGGTAGGAGCCCAGGGTGGAGGGGGAGCCGAGCCCGCATTCAGAGCATCTGTGCGGGCAGGTGGCTAGGTCACGGTCACGGCCGGGGCAGGCAGTGCAGGTGGGGGGCCCCCCGCAAAGGGGGAAGGAGGAAAAGGGGGCGACGGGGACGCACCTGAAGACGCGCAGCAGCAGGCAGGCGATGAGGAAGGCGCTGAAGGCGCACGCCACGATCACGGCCGCCTTCAGCGTGGGCAGGTCGCGGAGCAGGCTGGAGAGGCGGGTCACCAGGGCGTCGCCGCTGCTGTTGGAGCTGCCGCCGCCGCCGGTCACCGTCGCCTCCGCGGCAGCCCCGGGGCGGGTGGCGTTCACAGACCGGGAGCCCGGAGGCTGATGCTGGGGCTGCGGCCCCGCGATCACCGGGGCGGCCAGGAGCGCGAGCAGCAGCAGCGGCAGCAGCAGCAGCAGCAGCAGGAGCTGCGCGGCGTGCATGGTGCGGCCGGGCGGGCGGGCGGGGCAGGGCTCCCGCACCCGCGCTGAGGCCTCTGCACCCTGCACCCTGCACGCTGCACCCGAGGCTCCCGCTGCCCAGGCGGCTGCGCGGGGGTTTGGCAGGAAACTGCGGCGCCCGGAAGAGCCCGCACCGCCGCAGCCGCCAACACGTTGCACGGAGCCATTCGACGGGCCGCGGCCCCACGTGGGCGGGGCAGGCCACCAGCCGGGGTGCGGGGTGCGGGGTGCGGGGTGCGGGGTGCGCTCCGATGATCGCTCACCCGCGGCCCCAATAAGGACCTAAGATCCCTGGAAGAAGTAATCACGGCCAGGCTAACATTTAATCCTACAGCCCCTTTAGGAGACAAGGATTCCTGTTGTTTTCTCATTGAGTAGCTGATGTAGGACCCAGAGAGCCAGACTGAGAATCCGTATCTTCCCGTTTTCCATATATATATATATATATATATATATATATATATATATATATAGTTATTTGGGGGTTTTTTACAGAGAGGAAGAGAGAGGGATAGAGAGTGAGAAACATCGATGAGACAGAAACATCAATCAGCTGCCTCCTGCACAACCCCTACTGGGGATGTGCCCGCAACCACAGTCCATGCCCTTGACCAGAATCGAACCTGGGACCCTTCAGTCCGATGCTCTATCCACTGAGCCAAACCGATTTCGGCCCGTTTTTCCCTCTTTCTGTCAAAAGTTCTTTCTCTTGTGGCTTCGGGCATTTTGCACCTCTGCTCATGTACCCAGGAAGTGCTACCTAAAATGCACATTGCTTATTTGAGCATGCTCCGGCGGTGAGAAATTTGGACAGGTCACGTGATTCAAGTCTCTTCCAACTCCAAAATACCTCTTCCTGGCATGTCAAAAATGTTACTTTGGTATAGAGCCAGCTGTATCTGTCATCACGATATAATTTACAAAATGAATTCCTAGGGAGCCGTCTCAGGCGTCCATGATTTTGCAGCACTGGCCTCTAAGGCATAAACCTCCCATCATAGGTTAATGTTTTGGTCCCTATCAGAAATTCTCATGTGGTAGAGCAAAGAGATACTGGGTTTGAGACCCTCTCAGTCAAGATGAGAGAGGGGTTTGAGCACTGAATGAGTGGCCTTGGCCAAGGACTGAACCACCAAGTTCAAGTTGTGTTTTTTTGATGTCTAAAGGAGACACTCTTAGCTCAAAAAGGTCGCTGGAAGCAGCCATAAGAAGAGAGAAAATATGAGCTAGCACGCTAATCCTTCTTTTGCACAATTCAAGGATCGGCATAGATCTGTTTGACTATATAACAATGACTTAACACCACGAATACAGAAAGCATAAAGGTTAGATTTTTAGAAAAATGAAATTTTAGAATCTTTCACCTTAGCCAGTTTGGCTCAGTAGATAGAGCATCAGCCCTCAGACGGAAGGATTTCGGGTTCAATTCTGATATTGGGCATATGCCTCAGTTGTGGGCTGATCCTCAGCCCTAGTCTGAGCCCATGAAGGAAGCAACCAATTGATCTCTCTCTGTGTGTCTCTCTCCCTCCCTTCTACTCTCTCTAAAAATCAATGGGAAAATATCCTTGGATGAGTACTTCTAAAAAAATTTTTAAAAAAATAGAATTTTTCATTCTTCCTGATTATCCGATCTTCAAATCATCACAACATAGGACTTACTTACAAAATGCCTTTTAGAGTTGTTCCTTAGACATTTTGATTCAACCAACCATAAATATGACCTTTTTAAACATGCAACCGTGATGACAGGCTACAGAAACCTACTCTGGGCTGATTTCAGAAAAGGGGAATTTATGAAAGCATGTTGGCCTGCTCCTAAAATCAACTGTCAGTTCTAAAAACATGCCTGTGGACTCCAGGAGTGCCTGAGCCACTGTACGGAAACCTGAAAACTCAAACCTAGTTCCGTAATAACCCTAAGATGTTAGTTGGCATCTACACTGATCTAATGTGTGCAGGGATGGTGATAAAGCCTGATGGTACCCTGGCATAAATCAGGATAAGCTATACTCACAGTAATTGGGTTCTTCACAACCATGGGCTATAGGGGAAAAGAAAGCCAGATTTAGTTTAGAAAGTCACTGATCTAACCATGACATTATTTAAATCTTGACCCTTGAGAGCAGATCGTGTTAATATTTTATGTGATGAAACGGTGAGTGTGAATAAATCACTTCTGCGGCACACGGAAGCACATGATTTTCTCAAGAAAAAAGCACCTGGGAAAGCAGAACTTCCCACGTTTTTCAAGAACACCATTTTTTAAAAAATATATTTTATTTTTTTTAAATATATTTTATTGATTTTATACAGAGAGGAAGGGAGAAAGATAGAGAGTTAGAAACATCAATGAGAGAGAGTCATCGATCAGCTGCCTCTTGCACACCTCCCACTGGGGATATGCCCGCAACCAAGGTCCATGCCCTTGACCGGAATCGAACCCGGGGCCCTTCAGTCCCCAAGCCGATGCTCTGTCCATTGAGCCAAACCGGTCCCGGCAAGAACACCGTTTTTAATCTGAAGTTTCTCAACCTCAGACCTGGCCTTGGGTAGGCTTTTCTCAAAAATGAACCAGGTGAGCCTGTCGCTTCAAAAATAACAGCGAACAGTATTGTAGCCAATGGTGATAAGCCAACCCTGCAAGTGAAATTTTGAATTTTTAGACAACTTGTCCATTTAGATGCTTTCTGCCATGAGCTGCACTGCTGCTCATACGTCAAGACTTTTCTTTCCCTAATGGGTTTGGCTCAGTGGATAGAGCATCAGCCTGCGGACTCAAGGGTCCCAGGTTCAATTCCGGTCAAGGGCATGTACCTTGGTTGTGGGCACATCCCCAGTGGGGGGTGTGCAGGAGGCAGCTGGTCGATGATTCTCTCTCATTGATGTTTCTAACTCTCTATCCCTCTCCCTTCCTCTCTGTGAAAAATCAATAAAATATTTCTTTAAATGACTACTTTAGCCAAGCAGGTGCGGCTCAGTGATAGAAGGAGAGATGGAGATAGGAGAAAAGAGGGAAAGAACGAGGGGAGATGAGAGAGTCAGAGCACATGAGTGAGAGGGGAGACTGAGCATCCTCCGAGGAGAACATCCTGCATCTTAGCATCAGCCCCTTCCAGAAGATGCAGTCCCATCCTCAGCTTCCTCCCATCCCCTCTCCTGGGGAGCTGACTGAGGACCAGCTGCCGCTCATTTTATTCCCCGCTGGGAAGGAGGGTACCATCATACGATATCCATGCCTATTTTTATAAATAATTCATCTTTCTTCGCATAGAAGTAAAACAGCCTGAAGCTAGAACCTTTAAAAGGGACGTTAGTGCTGATTCATAAAATAATAATGTGCCGGTTTGCCGGGCGATTGCTGAGAGTCCCCGAGCTGAAATACACCGAGTTCCAGGTCTATTCTTAGCCTGGAAAGGGCCTCCCGATGTCATTCTCAGTTCACACTTGATAAAGGGCCATGCGTGTTATGCTTTCTCTGAAACCGGGCTTTTCCCGAGCCAGTTACATTCACACAGGGAACTCTAAAGGCTGGATTGGCGTCTTTACAATGTCCAAGCAAATGCTTATTTAGACTCGACAAAAATAAATCGTAAACGCAAGGATAATGGAGCCTGATCTGCCGCTGTGGGAAAGAGGCCCACGTTGTTGACATTTATGTGACTTCCCCAAGAAAATCCATCAGCTGTCATTTTTTTTTTTTTTTTTTTTTTTTTTTGACAGGAGGACAGCGATTCCGGAGCTGGGAGGGCTTAAAAACAATTGTTAAACAAGAAGATGTGGGCCCTGACTGGTTTGGCTCAATAGATAGAGCGTCGGCCTAAGGACTGAAAGGTCCCAGGTTCGATTCCGGTCAAGGGCGTGTACCTTGGTTGCGGGCACATCCCCAGTAGTGGGTGTGCAGAAGGCAGCTGATTGATGTTTCTCACTCATCGATGTTTCTAACTCTCTATCCCTCTCCCTTCCTCTCTGTAAAAAATCAAATATATATATATATATATTGTTCCAGATCAACAATTAGGGGAAAAGGGGGCCTCATGAGGTTATCTGACCTGCGCAGGGTTGGATGTGAGTGTGTGACGTGCCTTCTCTCCCCGGGACAGGCCTCTCTCCTTTGCTGGCCTGCCTCACATCTGGTTAGCATTGTCCCACCATGGAAACAGCGGGCTGCTGCCAAAGAGAAATATTTCTATCAGAGTTTCTCAAGTGTCCCCACGGAGAGCCCGCCAGCGGGGAGGGAGATGACGTGATAAGTGGCCGATGGAACCCTCGCAGCCAATCAGAGGGCAGCAAGGGATGCCACCCACAGAGCACGTTTTATGGGCTTTTCATAGGACACCACGTCCTCCAGGGCATCCTGGAAGGAGGGCCCTGACCTCTGAGCGAAGGCTGGCCCGTCTGCTGGGCACCTCTTTGTCTAACGCACATCAAAGTCACGTTCATTCTCTTTCTTCTCAAAGTGAAGATTTTGATTTTTTATTTTATTTTATTTTATTTTATTGATTTTTTACAGAGAGGAAAAGAGAGGGATAGAGAGTTAGAAACATCAATGAGAGAGAATCATCTATCAGCTGCCTCTTGCACACCCCCTACCGGGGATGAGCCCGCAACCAAGGTACATTGTGCCCTTGACCCGAATTGAACCTAGGACCTTTCAGTCCACAGACCGAAGCTCTGTCACTGAGCCAAACTGGCTTCGGCTGACCTATGTTTCCAACTCTCCATCTCTCTCTCTTCCTCTCTGTGAAAAATCAATAAGATATATTTTTAAATAAAAAATAAAAAAATATATATGCATGAGAAATTGTGCAAGTGGGTATGGAAAGGACTTATCTGTGGGAAGAGGGGACAGGTACTGATAGTTGGGGTAACTTTTTTGTTGCATATTTGTCCATATAGTGGCTGTGTTGTCTATTCAAATAATTACACCAAAAGGAAATGAAACAAATCCACATCTTCATTTAATCCTTCTCTCTCACCTT